TCATTGCCGGAGGCCGTTAATGTAGGCTGTAACTGTAAATTCATGCTAGGTGTCCTGGCTTTGGTAGTTCAGCAATAAGCTGGGGAGAGCGACCTAAATTTGGGCATGCATTATGGTGGCTTTTGAGAAAGTTTGCGATAGAGCGGTAAAGCGAAAATCTGGACTGTCTGATTCTAGGACGAACTGTGACTTCATGTTAGCTGCTTGGTTTAGCTTTGACCTTATCATTTGGCATAAAGTGCCGAAAGCTTCCTTGGTGCATTTACGAATCACGTTCTTTCATGATACATTTAGTAAAGTTATGTCTAGTCCGCACTGGATAGTTGGAGCCGACAGTGTTGATTAGCTCAAATCGGGTGTGTAATATGCATGAAGATGAAATTACTTACCGAGGTCCCTCTATAGAGAAGAATTTTACCAACATAGATGAGGCGATAGTCTTCATATTTAAAAATCTTTCTTGAAAAAAAAAAAAACATCCTTCTCAGTAGTAGTTGAGCTTACAGACATAAGAAGAAAGCAAGTATCTATGTCGAACGAAGGAGGTAGAAGGGGTCAGACCTTGAGAAGATAGCCTTAATTGAAAGCCTTCTTGGCCTCTTCAAACACAATGAAATGTGTTCGAGCTCATACAGCAAATGGGGAGATAGCTCAATTCTCACACCTTCTGAGGCCCCATCCACTCTGGCTATAGCCCTGGCAGATACTGCGTTTACAGAATCCAGGTCGGTATTATTACACTTCAAATGTAAGCTATGCAAATCCCAAGTAGCAACGAATCGAGTTCCGACATGAGAAGCTTGAATAATACCACCTAAGCGGTTCATCGCCCCCGCCGTGCCGTCTGACCACCCATTCAGTGAGACGAGTCCATTTACTGGCCTCTCATATTGTTGCATTCATTTGCATAACGCCCAAGGCTTGCAGCTTACCTTTCACCTTGTTCTCAATAAGGAAATTCCTTTTTTTTTTCGTAGGGCTTGCTGCAGCAGACGTCTATCGCAAAACGTGGCCTCTATCAATATTTGTTTTCATCACTACGTTGGACTGGCGGCATATCCTCAACATTCTCCTAGTCATTACTCACATGCACGAATTGCACCATGTCTGAATCTATCGTCCTTCATAGAGATTCACCGTCGTATTTGTGCAAGAGATGCATTGGGTTTTTCTCCACGCCAAAGACGCTCTCTCAGAATGATGACGATCTGAATCTTCACAGTTCTAGCACAGTCGAGGTTCTGGAAGCAGAACAGGCTGGCTGCGCGTTCTGCACACACATTGTGCAACAATTGGAAGACGCCGACGACGACTATGATTTCCGGCTAGCCTTCACCATCCGTGAAGGGCCCAGTAACCAAGAAAAGCCGGTGTGGGCACTGTCTGCAAATCTGGCCAATACCGAGCTCGGCAAACCTATCAACTATGCCCTCGTCCCTATAGAGCGTGCGTTTCCTTGCTTTTTTCGCATCAGAAATGAAGGACTAACAATGTGCTACAGAAGTCTGGTGGTCTTTGAGATTTGGGGGACAGGATATTGGGTCGAATAACAAGTACGGGATCGGCTCGTCGACCGACAGCACCCTTAGCCGCAATATCGTACAAAAATGGCACATGGACTGCTTGCAAGGGCACCAGACATGCCAAATCAACCACGAGACACGAGGTTGGGTTCCTACACGACTTATCGAAATTAATGAAACGAGCTTTCGGGTCATTACCAACCAAGGTCACCACTCGGACGCTGTCACATACGTGGCCCTAAGCCACTGTTGGGGAGAGTCGGAAATCATCAAGTTGACAACAGCGACAGCTAATAGTTTATTCACGGGCGCACCTATCTCGAAGTTGCCAAGAACCTTTCGAGATGCCATTGAAGTTTGTCGTTGGCTAAATTACTCACATATTTGGATTGACGCCCTTTGTATCATTCAAGACTCGGATGAAGATTGGAAAACCGAAGCACATGCCATGGCCGAGGTCTATGGCAGGGCCGCACTGACAATCGCTGCTGCCCACGGTAAAGACGCCATGGAGGGCTTGTTCGCAGCTCGCCGGCCAGAAGCAATCAAGGCACCGATTATTGAGTGCTCATGGGGTGCTGATAAATCAGCCCAACGGTATTGTCTCGTCGACGAACGACTGTGGAGGAATCATGTTGATCTCTGCCACTTATCCAAACGCGCTTGGACTGTCCAAGAACGCTTTCTGTCACCGAGAACTCTCTACTTTACGCAGCATCAGGTCTTCTACCGATGTGCTACTCACGACGTCTGCGAGTCGTTCCCGGCGGACAACACGCCAGCACAATTGTTTGACGAGACGTCCCTCCCGTCACCCCGAAGCGCGATGAAACCAAGAGACATATGGGCTCGTGCCGCGAGCATTTATTCATCGGCCGCTCTTACAAAGGACACGGATAAAGTGATTGCAATAGCTGGCCTTGCTGCTAGTCTCGGCGTGCGCATGCAAGATGAGTATCTGGTTGGCCTATGGAGGAGTAATCTCGTTCATGAGCTGCTGTGGCGGTCCTCGGGCGATGATGGTGCCCAGTCAAGACCGAATCCATGCCGCGCCCCAAGTTGGTCTTGGATGGCGGTGAAGGGAGTAGGCGTGAAAATCAACGAAAATGTCTGTAGCGCAAGATGCAAACATCTCGTCGAGATCATCTTCGCCTCCGTCGATCTCGTTGACTCTACTTGCCCTACGGGCGACATTCACGGAAACTCCGGCATTCTCCAGCTCCGAGGCTGTCTCAAACCGGCAGCCTGGTCTCCTATCCACAAATACACTGACGCTGACTGGCGGAAATACCAAGTCACGTTCCCTGGCCAAGACCAAGCAGAAGTGGGTGATGGCTTTGAATCGACTGTTACCCGTCCGGATTACATCGACCCGTCTCTAATGGACCTTGAAATCTACCTACTGCCCATGGTGTCAATCCCCAACCAGCACAAGACCGAATGTCTCCTTCTGGCACCTGTTTGCAAGGAGACACAATCGTATCAAAGGATTGGGCTGTGTGCAGTCAGTCATGTGGGCGGAATGAACAGGAACTTGTTCAAAGAGAGGAGGTATGACGCGGCAACTAGGGTTTCGATTGGGTGGGGGAGAGCGGTGATAGGCAACGACGGCTGGGAAAATCTTCCCATATCAGACATCTGCATACTCTGAGGAAAGTGATATCCAATAGCTTGATCTGTGCTCAAACTGTTGGCTGATGGTCCTCGACTAACCAGAAACAGGAACTCGAGCAGCATGATTGAATCATAGAGCTTCACAGCCCACAGGATGTCTTGGATGGTCAGCGTGCTTTCCGTCTTCCTTTCTGGGACCTTTGTAGTTGAGACTTTCCTTGTGGCTGCGAATAGCCTCGTTTAACCCCTCTTTTGATGTTGTCATCCTTGACATTGGCCACTCCTCACATCCGATTGGCCGAGGTAGAGCGCGTAGGATTATACAATGAGATAGTTGGGCATGGGATTCTCGGTATCTTTCTTTTGGCAACTTGCATGTCGGAATCCTAAGCATCGGGGGTTCAAACATTCCGACTTACGTATGCACAGTCACTTCATTGCTTGGCATATGTGCACAATCATCACCATTTCATCATCACCGAAAGAAAAAGCAAACAAAAAGAGTCAAGACTCCATCGGCTGGTTCGGATATTGGGATCTTCTTAGCCAAGACGGCACGGGACGGCGATAGCATTAGGAGGTTGATCAATGGCATGACAACACTGGCATAAAAGAAGCGGGAAAAAAGAAGCGGTGAAATGTTCTCAAGCTTTTCAATTCAGGCCGTGTTTTGCCACCGCATAGTTCCAAGTCAATACACGAGAATTTCACGTTGTTGTACTGCCTATTGTGCTCCCGCAGTCCCCACAAGTGCCGCGTGGAGTCCCTTACGATCACTGCATCAGAAGTAGATGCATGGCACTTATGCAATGGCCAATCGCTGCTTTTTCCGTCCCCCGCTTCGACGAGTAGCGTAGATGAATAGAACACAAGAGGGGTAAAGATGGGCTGATCGGGGAGTTTTGGCCAACCGTGTTCACAGATCCACAAGAAGGCGGAAGCATGTCTTGAATAGATCAATGGATATGATTCGGAAGTAGGAGCCGGAAGATTCGATCTATTGAACTAACCATTATTGTAGCGATCATCTTGCGCATTGATATCATTGACGTAACAAGTAATTCATAGGCGCTGAACTGAGACTGAAGCTATCTATCGTTGGGCTCGGACCTCTTCCGGGAGCTGTTTGACGGCGAGTTTCTCCTAATTCGCCACGATCAGTTCCAACAAGTCTAGATGATATTGAAGACGTGACGAAGCGAGGATGCTAGCACAGTCATCACAATTCTTCTCTCAAACATCGAAACTAGACTTACATCTTCCTTTATTGATTCAATGTAATACGTAAAAGACTATTATCCAGCGTTATGCCCAAAGTGGGGTTTGGGTATACAACACTCTGATCGGCGGGAAGCTTACTCTAATGAGTCTAACATTCCGTGCCGTGTCTCAAGCCTCTCGGATTCAGGAGAGGACCGGTGAAGAAGCAAACAACAGGCGAATATCGTAGTCAGGGGGCATCATCGTAAGCGGCAAACCATGCAGTGACACCGTTACTGCATATACTAACATGACTCGATGAGAGTACCGGCTTCTGAAAGCGGGGTTCCGAGACACGGCTCGACAGATGCGTGTCGCTTAGACTAGGTACGTGGGACTACGTGTGAAGCGCGCCCAGTGAAATCTCTTCAGCTCAGTGTACTCAGTTGTAACTCATGAGTTGATCGGCTTACGTTCGTATCCTCTTATTTTTCTTGCTCGAAATGCTCGTTGCTTTGGGGAAGCAACTCAACTATAAAAGTGGCCGTTTCCCCCCTCATCATCGAACCATCTCACCACACACTCAGCATCATCCTCATCCTCATCAACACTATCAACAATATATCACACTCAAGTAACAACAAACCCAACACTTCGATCAACATGAAGTCCATCATTGCCCTCACCGCCGCCCTCTTCCTTGGAGCCACCACCATGGCACGCCCTTTCAACGCCGGCGACTATGATGTTTGCTGGCTCATGTGCGCCTCCGACAAGATCCAGTGCCCCGAGAATTGGGTGAGTCCTCTTCTCCTTTCCACCCGTACTTACCGTCCAGAAGCTAACAAAACGCCCTGTAGTACTCCAAGCAGCAGGTGTGTAATGATTCGAATTATTCCTCCCTTTCTAAGTCAACTAACATGGTTTTCCTCGTGTAGGGAAATTGCTGGACTTGCTGCAAGGATATCGGCGGCGACAACATCACCGTTCGGTAAGAAATTTACTTCCACATCGACTGAACCAATTTTTAACTGGCTTCCACTGACAAGTCCTGCAGCCCCGCCAGCCTGGTCGAACTCCGTTAATCAAATCCAGTTGACCAAGTCTCACTAGACGCCCGCAAGTATGATGAATGACAAGAGCTACCAACCTCACTGGATGGGCGGAAGTATGAGAAATGACAGATATTATCATGTGCTGTACTGATTTGGGGATTGCACGAGACTCGGGAACAGCCAGGAATCGTTTGGTTGTACGGAGGTCAATGGCATCAATAGTGTAAACAGCTTCATTTTCAATCACACTGATAAATTACACCGGAACTTATGTCCCTTGGCAGTGACTGTATCTATCTTGGAATTTGAGCATATTCTGAACAATACCTTGTTGACCTCACTGGCACTAATCCTCGCGAGTGAGAAACGTACTTCATCATCCACGAAAGATCTCAAGATGAGGGAAGATGCGAAAAGATCAACCATCCGTAAAGGACGGCAATAAAGGACGCCAGACCCGACATCTTAACACAACGCTGGCCTTGTAGGTTACAGACAATCATACCTCACATCCACTTGCTCCGCTCTAACATTAAGAGCTGACCGATTACTACAGCACACTGCCTTTGCCATGTCCCTGCTGGTTGATACAAAAGAGATGCAAAGCGACGCAATAATACCTTCAAGTCTATTTGATAGGTAGCTAATTCACAAGAGTCTATGCCATGAACCGAAACTACATCGTCCTGTATATATTCATGCAGCTGCTTTGAGTAGACTGCCCACAACGTGCCAAGTGTCGTGCTGCTTCTAACTTGTATGGCACAGCTTCATGCAAAACTACGTTGTTATGTGACCTCATCCAGCCTCTCCCGTGGCAATATCTCCAATGTGCTCCTTCAACAATTGAATGATGGTCTTATTCTCGTTCGTGATTGCCAAATCCAGTATCTTTTTAGCTTTGGCCCCATTCCCAACGTCCGCCCCGTGCTGTAGAAGCAGTTTCACTGTTCTTGGGTTGTCGCTCTCAATGGCCATTTTTAAAGCCGTTTTCGATTTGCTACGATACGTTCCTTTGTTAGGGTCGGCACCGTGCTCCAGCAATAGCTCTACAATGCTGTCGTAACCATGCGCCACTGCCAACCATAGTGGCATGCTCTCATAATGATGATCCTTGTTGACATTGGCTCCGAATCGGAGCAACAGGCTCACCAACTCTACATTGCCCGATTTTGTTGCTATATGCAATGCCGTAGCATCATAGTGGTTCTCGGCGTTGACATCGATGCCCCGCTCGAGCAGCAGTTTTGAGATTGATACGTCTTGCATATAGACAGCTCTGTGTAGGGCAGTCAATTCATTCCTGCGTAGATGGATGATTTGAGGACCCTGGTCGAGCAGCAGTCTAACTAGGGCCATGTTGTTAAAAAGAACAGCACGTTCCAGTGCCTCGAAAGTCACCGAGGCGCCTCTCCTCAGCAGCAACCGGATTATGGCCTCATTCCCCTTCTCTACGGCCGACTCCAGCGCCGAAGACGATGGATTTGTACCTTTCCCAAGAAGCAGAAGGGTGATTGTCTTATCTTCTGACTGTATAGCCTGTGTTATGGCCTCTGGGGTTATGATGGCGCCGTTATTAAGCAGGAGCTGGACCAGGTCCAACCGTCCCTTGGATATCGCTTTTGGGAGGACATGTGGTGTTGTGCGGCCGCCATTGTCCAGGAGCAGTTGAAGCAGGTCCTTGTCGCCGTGCGCGGCAGCCTCCTCAGCAGCTTCGGGTACAATTTCAACCCTGCGTTCAAGAATGAAATGGACGGCAGCCTTGTTTTTCTTCGCAATAGCCTTGACCAAAGTCTTTGGTGTGATTGTGGCCCCCTGCTCGAGAAGTAACCAGAAAATGGCGTCCTGGTCATTTGCAACAGCCCTCTCCAAGGCTTTTGATGTTGCTTCAATACCTTCACTGAGGAGGAGTCGGGTTACGCTTTCATTTCCATATCCGGCGGCCTTTTCCAGTGCTCGGGAAGTTGGTTTCGCTCCTCTGTCCAGCAATAAACGGACTATGTCTTCATTCGTGCGTGTAGATATCATCCTTAGTGTATCTGGGCTTGTGACCGCACCCTTCTCAAGAAGCAATCTGACAATAGCCTCGTGGCCCAAAGAAACAGCATACTTCAGTGCGTCTTCAGTAGGAGCAGTCCCCTTTTCAATCAAGAGTCGCACGGTGGGCTCGTGCTCTAAACGAACAGCGCTTTCTAAAGCTTCTGGTGTGATCTCCACGCCTCTCTCAAGTAAAAGCTGGATGGTCGGCTCGTTGAACCCTCTGACGGCAGCTTCAAGCGTCCTCGCTGTCGGTTCTGCACCATGATCCAACATCGTCTGTACTAATCCTTTGCTGCCACGAGACGCAACAGAATCTAGGGCTTGCCAAAAGGTTGACTGTGGGTTCGCTCCATGCTCAAGCAAGAGCCGTATCATCGCTTCCTGCATGGCTGCTTTGTCTGTGTCTTTGGATAAACTCTCTGCCGCTTGATAAAGCGGCGTACCGAGAACATCGGCGTTGATGTCTGCTCCGTTGGCGAGGAGCAATTTGACGACTGCTTCGTGGCCGTGCCTTGCTGCACGGTGAAGTGCATGATTATCGTCGGATCTTACCATTGTCTTAGTTGGAACCATTCGAGCAATGTATGATCTCTTTTCTAGCAAAAGCCTCACGATTCCTTCGTGCCCCTTTTCTGCGGCCGCGTTCAAGGCTCTGAATGTGACTGGGGCATCTTCCTTTAGTAGCTGTTGCACAAGAGGCTCATCTCCGTCTTTGCAGGCCCTTTCCAATGTCATTCTATTGCTGCCTGAATCAACCTTGCTCTTTGATGGTGAGTCTTGGGCGTCCGACTTTCGCATAATGACTGTCACGTCTGCACCTTTGTCGATTAAAAAGTTCATCATTGCCGTCTCTCTGTTTTCCATCGCCACTAAAAGAGGCGTTTGTCTCTGATGGTCTTCGGCGTTTATCATTGCTCCATTCTGGAGGAGTACTTCCACCAAAGTCCGGCGCCCATTACCAACTGCACGATGGAGAGGGGTCCTTCCATTTGAATCTGTCGAAAAGTTGAGATCCCTGCAATGCTTCAGGACCAGACTCCCCGTGGCTACAATATCCGACTCCTTATCAAGCAGCTGTCGAGCCACTCTTGGGTCTCTATTTCCAGCCACCCGGTGTAAAACCGTATCGCCGCCGTTGTCGCTCACTGTGATATCGGCTCCTCTGTCGAGCAGCAGCTGTAGCATGAGGGTGTGTCCGTATAAAGCCGCTGCGTGAAGTGCTGTGCGTCCATGGCGGTCTTTCGCTTCTATATTGGCTCCGTGGTCCAGCAGTATTCTGGCCAGCTCCTCTTGCCCACCTTCAGCAGCCAAATGCAAAGTGGTGATCCCATCATGATCCGAGGCAGACACGCCGGCACCCCCCTGGATAAGTCGTAGCGCCACAGGTCCATTGTATTTTGCAGTCGCCCACATCAAAGGAGTCCTCTTCAATTTGTCGGAGAGATTGATGTCGATACCGGGGTGGGCGAGCAACAGTTCCATAACTTCTTTATGACCTGCCGCGGCTACCCAAGACAGGGGTGTTCTCCCCTCTTCATCTACCGCATTAACATCTACATCCGCTTGCAAAAGAAGAACCTGGACAACTCTTTTATGCCCTCTTGCCGCAGCCAAAGACAGTGGTGTTCGTCCACGGTCATCCTTGACGTCAATATCACGATTAGCCACGACACACAGCTGTAATACTTGACGAAGTAGCACGCTGACTGGAGCAATCATAACCCAATTCTGGATGACTAAATATAAAAGGAACTTGTAGATCAGGGAGGCCCCCCAAGTCTGGGCCACGACTGCACTGACAAGGTCATGTCGGGCCGTCGCATGTAGAAGCGTGGTGCAAGGCACGGGCCAGTTCTTGTGTGCTTTTGTCGAGGCTCGGACCCATGAACCAACAATGTGCTCGGAAGGCCAATGGAATGACGATAGAATGTACTCTTGGGGCATGTGCATCCCTTCTACCTTTTCCGCATGGACAATCCATGATGTGACAGAATAGTCAAGGAAAGGAAACTGTTGCCAGGGTTTGTTACTCTTCGAGCTGACGATTTCATCCATCGCAAGATAACGGATACAAGCTTGGGACAAGCAGATGTTGGACTGGCCACGCAAAACAACGTTGTTGTCAAGCACAGGATCCAAAAGTTGGAACCCGCGGTCAAGGAGAAACTCCTTGGCTGATTGGTGGATTAACTGAATCACCTTGGTTCCGTTATGCTCTCTCAGCTCTGCCAACCCTCCAGAGAGGCTTCGTAGCCTTCTGATCATCTGCTTCTCCGTTCGGATAGAATCAGACAAGCGAAGACACTGTTTCAGAGAAGAGCACTGAGTGTTCACACTAACATTCATCGCCCATTGGAGCTCTGAAACTGAAAGCGGTTTACGCGTAAAGCATAGCCACTGGAATAATCGCAAACTCCACACCTTTTCATTCGGCTCAGCGGCCAGTTTTTCAACGGCATCTTCAAATATGTCGGCCAACCGTGAAGGCATGTTCTGAAGCGATTGCAGAAGTTGTTCAGGATTCAAACCTTTTCTTTGTTGTAGAACCATATTAGGCAATATGAGCTTAGCCCACAGAAAAATTCCGGAGGATCGTTCGACTATTTCATCTTCTAAAGCGCCTGAATCTTCGTCGTCATCAAATGGTTCGAGATTACTCCGTATATATGTCCTAATATCTGCTTCGTTCTTGGACTCGACGGAAATTTCTTTTCCTTGCTGCCATCTGACCAGAGGAAAATGTCGGCATGTGATGCAAATACTCAAACGCGATAGACTCGAAGCTGGTTGAGACCGGATATTTTTGAAGAAGGCCTCGAGGGAGACGATCCCGTCTTCACTGCATTCGTCCAGGGCATCAACCATTATCTGAACGGCATACGTTTCCCGCGCTTTGTTGATGCAGCTTTGAAGCAAGCGCTCCAGCTCATTGGCATGCCAGTTCCACTCCTCCCCATCATTGATCGAGCGCCCTGAGCTCATTTGGAAGTTCTCGATAACCCCCACCAGCTGGTTCCATAGTTGATCCCGGTATCGTACAATTAGTTGATGGAGAAGGTTTCGATAGAAGTCGAGAGCCGTCGCCTGCGACTCGGAGTCATTACTGTGGAAAAAGAAAGACAACACAACCACGTTCTCTGAGCCTTTGCTTCGTCTTTCGGAGTCAATCATTGAGGCATATTTGAGTAATGTTGATTTGCCGGAGCCTGGTTTTCCTATTATCCAAAGCAGACCATTGTCTTGCTCTTGCCATTCCTTATACTCGCTGTCTTCGAGAAGCCAATTGCACGTTCCTGCCGCTGCCTCTGCAACAAATTCCTTGCCGTCACTGATTCCTGAGAATGGTAGAACAGGCGAAAGAGAATCTGTAAACCATTGTCAGATTAAGCTTATAAGTGGGAAAACTTTTGCATGGGGGAAATATACTGGTAGCAACAGGAGCGTAGCTAGAATTTTCTACCTCGTGGGCATGTACAATTGAGAGAAGATTTTTGGCAAAGGCCGCGGCCGTAGCTGCGGCGTACGGCTGCCAAATGTCATTCTTGTGATAATCTGCGTAGTCTGAGATGCCTCGGATGACGAGGCAGGGGAAATTGTTCATCAGGCCAGCTGCTTCCATCTCAAAGCACAGCACATTTCCGAGCTCGTGTCTAAGTCGATCTCTAGTTGCAGCATCTTTTATAACTTGGTTCCCAGATGCAATGAGGCCAAAGTGGACGACTGGATCTAGATTGCCTCGATCAGGCAGCTCAGCCCAACCCTCATTTGCACCCGGGTGAGCGAAACTTGGGTTCTTGGCTGCCAGTGAGGCAAGTATTTCTTCGAGTTTTCTTTTATTGGACCAATGGCTTGCCTTTAGCGCGTTGAGGGCCGTTAACAACACTTCTGGTGGCGAGTTCAACCAGCCTGTCCGCTCAAAGCAAACACCCAGCTCTCGTCCTCGATCGTATTGGATAACGCCCCCAAGCTGGCCCTTGGGTTCACTGACGACTATGTCACCGAGCCGGATATCATGTCCTTCTTGGGGGATTCCGCCGCCAATGCCAACCATGAGGCCGAACTTTATCCCGGTAAAGCTGGTCATCATTTGTTGCGCGGTGGAAGCTGCCGGTGCGATACCGTAATTCCCGGCCGGAAGACAGGCAATCACGACGTTGTGATTGTTTATCTTGCCCAGAGTGTAAGAGTTGTGATCGTTTGGGTGCAACTCTCGAGGGCTTTGATGGACTTCATCCAACATGGCCGTCGCCGCAGCCATTTCCACCGCCAACGCACAGATCCAACCCACAGTGTACATGCGGTTTGGCAGGGACGGTGAGTCCATGTTGCTGATTCGGGTGCCCAAAGGGCAAATTAACCCTAGGCAGCGAATGAAATAAGACGGTTTCCGATAAGTGCTAGAGTATCATATTCTTCGAGAGCGCGTCTCTACTGTCGTGAAGGATGAGGATGAGGTGATTACCTGCAAGTCAGCCTTTCCATAACGCACAAATGAAGCCTAAACCTACATAGTACACTGATCACGTGATGTGACCAGATCTTCAGCTCTCAGTGATTGCGTCGATCGATCTCCTTTTTCAGATATTTATTTCGAGAATGATTAAGAATAAAAGGTTAGCCATAAGGCATTTTGACGAATTTATTTCAGCTAGCATATTGTACAATATGAATGTAAGGATTTATCTAAACTATGAGATCTTCTACCCTCCGTATAATCTAACTAGTTCATATGACTGAGTTCTAAGGCCGACATTCAATCTCAATGAACTGTATGATGTTTGAACTATTTTGATGTCTCGATCGATAAATCCAACGGGCGAGCTAATTTTAAGCTCGGTGACGCAACTTTATTATGAACTCCCGCGCGCCAAACCTGACTGAATAAGCTAAAGACGCCGATCTAATCATTGTTCCCCTACGCCCTACGGAGATGATAGAGATGAGGTAGAGCGGTAGGCGTTGGGATGCAACTCATTTTTGGGGCCTACAGAAACTGTCCAATTTTGATGGAGCTGAGAATAGCCAGTCACTGGAGACAAGGCTGTCTGCCAGGCAATTAAGTATAATACTTAGCTTTTGTACTGTTCAACTATCTAAATAGGGATGCATCTTCCTCCATATTTGAAAGAATTCATGTAGCCGTGAGTTCGTGATGTAAACCTTTAAATACACAACCCAGGCTGCAGGAATTCCATTGAACTGCCTTTATACTCAGGCAGTCCATCCTCCGGCTGCTGATCCCCAGAACTTTCTCATCTCGTCGACAAGGTCTGTTGGGTTGATGGTAGCAGGAAAGTGGCCGCCTAGAGTGGTCAGGGGCTTGCGAGAAAAGTAGGCTATGTTCGTAGCCTGTCGGTCAAGCCAGTCGCGGGGAACACCGTAACCCACGTCAGGGAAGTACTGGAGTACGCCGACGGGAATCGATACATCCTTCCAAGCAAAGTCAAGTGTACCTTCCTGTGATGGTGTTAGTCTAAGATTAACTCGAATGGTATATTGGTGGTAGGTGGACTTACCCTCTTCATTTCCGCATACGTTCGCACGCTACCGTAAGGCCCGGGGATGTAGAGCATCATAGACCAGGTGATGAGTTCCTCAAGTCCCCAGTCGTATCCAGGAGAGAAACCCTTTGTTCCCCAGTACAGCCATCCAAGGTTGCCTATCGGGCTATCATTGAGGAGGGTGCCAAGCTGGAGGGGGAAGGTCGACTCGACGCCCCAGAACGCCAGGACGGTGGGCCACACTCCCTGGAAGAATTCAATGAAGGAGCTTTCTTCGGCCGTCGTCTCGTTCCTCGAGTAGCGGAGGAGATCGGCATCAGTGGGAGCCTCACCCCAGAGGTTGCTCAGGATGCTGACGGTCGAGTCTGGGAACATGGCAGCCATGTAGCGTATGGTAATGGCGCCAAAGTCGCCTCCCTGCGCGACGTAGCGATCATATCCAAGCTGCTTCATCAGCTCGTTGAAGGCAGCGCCGACCTCTATGAGGCCGAGCCCGGGCTCAGTAGCGGCCGGTGAGAAGCCGAACCCTGGGATGCTGGGAGCGACGACGTGGAATGCAGGGGTATCATCGTCGGGTGGTGTAGTGAGAAGATTAATGATCTTGCGCACTTCGAGGAAAGAGCCCGGGTAGCCATGGATGAAGAGGAGAGGAATCGCATCCGGGCGCTCTGACCGATGATGCACAAAGTGAAGCGGGATGGGCAAGGTGTAGTTGTACGACGACGAATCAAGGGGGCCGACAGTGGTTGTAAAGTGGCTGAAGTTGGAGTTGAGCTGCTGCTGGACGGAGTCCCAGTCGTAATCGTTGAGCCAGTAATCACGGAACTGCGTGAGGTTCTCGTTCGGCAGCCCCTCGACAAATTGGGGGCCGTCAATTTCGATGGGAAACCGGGTCAAGGAGACTTTGAGCTTGGTTTGGGCAATGAAGTCGGGATTGACGTCGACAGTCATCGGCTGGGGAGATGATCCAAAAGTGGCTTTGAAATTGGTGGCTGGGTAGCTGCTGTTGAGACTCTGCACCGCCACTGTAGCGGCAATGAGCTGCCCAACGCAGAGAAGTTTTGATAACCCAAGCATCTTTTCTAATAGGTGACTCGGGAACAGATGATGTCGAATATCGATGCAAGAGAAATGAGTTGCATCTGGACATACAAAGCTCTATATGTATTCTCTCGATTCGTTCTTACCGGCTTCTAGCTCTGGAGTGATTTATAATATGGATATCCAAGTTGTCTCCTCTGTAGTGCGAGACATTCATCGTCCAATCTCAAATTGGTAGTTGTCAAGTCTTGGCATTTAAGATACATGGCTATACATATATATTGCATTAATCTTTCCTCACTAATTTCTTGCTTTGTAACTACTATTGAGATTTCTAATCCAAAATAATGTCGGTACTCAGGTTGTTCTCATCTAAGGTTCGAGACATTCATTGCCAAATCGCAGTATATCCCAAAGTGGTAGTTGTCAAGCCTTGGCAGTGAATTAACACAGTTGTGCATATAACAATCTATGAATTCTTTTTTGTCAGTTTCTTACTTTGTAACTGCTGACGGGATTTCTAATCAAACATAATACTAGTATTAAGTTGTTTCCTCTACAGTACAAGACATTCCTTGCCCAACCCCAGCCTTTCCCAAACCGGTAGTTGTAAACTCTTGGCAGTGAGACGCTTTGATCCACTGTCTCCATGTATCCAATGGTGAAACGCCGTTCAACTCCACCCGCTCCCAGATCACTAATTTCCATCCTCTCCATCTGACATACCTACCGGCTACGCCTACATGTCAACGGTGACGCTACCAGATCATCTACCTGGCGCAATGAAACCAGAGTTCTGTCCCCTAAGCCCACGCCTACCAACCTTTCAAAAATGCCGCGCGAGTTCCAATTCGTTGCCGTCCTATGCCCGACGGAGCCCGTCCCCTTCGAAACACGAAAGCTGACACATTCCCACGCCCGTCGGGAGACACACGCCATGAAAAAACGTCTACGGATGCAGAGACTTCAAGCAAAGGCCACGCGAGCTCATGCAGGAAATACCATAGCAGTTTTCGACCCATCTTTTCTAAGTCTGCCGAACAGCATAGTAAGCTCTCGCAAAGACATCTTCTCAGTCCTGCCCAGACCATTGTCTCATCAGGAACACTTTCTTCTTGATCACTGTACGCCCCGCCACTGGAATCTTTCTAAAGCAGCCTTCTCATGCCACCCCTACCTGCGTCCCCTTCTTCTAATTCCGGCAACAGATGTCCGAATCGTCGTGCCACATGCCACGGCCACATGTCATGATTTGTTTAGCGCCCCAGGTGACCACCAGGAGCGGGTCTTTCGGGAATGGGTAGGCCTCGCCGTGACTGACCAGGACCTCCTCGACACCGCTGTTCTCCTCCGGGCCGGCCGGTACCTTCTGGAGACCAGACCAGATGATCCGGTGTTGCCGCAAATGATACTCCTCTACAAGCAGAGAGGTCTGCAGAGACTGCGCCGGTTGCTTAGCGGCATGTCGTCGCCAGTAAATGCGTTGGGTGTAGCTATGGCACTTTCTCTAGCGATGGACGAGGTAAGGACCGTCAGTACAGTTGTAATAGAGTTGTTGGTGGCTAATAATATCTTGTTTCAAGGATGCGTTTGGGGAGATGGGAGTAGCCCGGATGCATGCAGAAGGTGTGTTTAATATGGTTGACCTCGGCGGCGGCCCGGGTTCTATCGGTCTCACGGGCTTCCTTCAAACCATGTACGAGGCGTGGCAACAGATATTCAAAGTTGGAAGATACCTAGCTCCATGATAATAAACCTAAACAGAATAAGCAGCACAAAATGGTCATGACAAGTTTCAATTGTGGACAAAAATATGCATAACCGAAACTTCGGGGTTGTTTTTTTGTAGTGCTATTACAATACCTCGTTTGCTCTGACATGATAATTCTGTGTTGATTGAACCTGTCTTTCCCTAGAGTTGGGCACCTTTATGGCTGATCATTAACCTCTTTCATAAGAGCATTTTTCTTTATTTAGATTTTACATATTGAATTTATAACAAACCTACACTCTACTAATAATAAATACAATTTAATAACATAGTGAACTTATCGAGTTTATCCAATACTCTCAAACCCCGCTCGCGACTGCACTGTTGCTTTAAAGCATCCCGTTGCTACCTGGTCCCACAGTAGCTTTGGAGTCACCTTCTCTTTACGAAGAGAGCTGCATTGCATGCTTTTGCATCTTATCTGAAATCTAAAGTGTTTCGACTGAGTTAAAAATGCCACCCACTCCTGTTTGCAGGCTATTTGATTGAGATATCTGTAGACGTAGAAGGCTGTCTCCTTAACCTCAACAACGAAGCAAAATTAGTCTTAATGTCCGATAGTAGCATTATGATGAGGACCTCGAAAGTTATAAGATTTGAGGTGTCTCGTCCTAATGGACGACTCGCTAGGACCAATAATCCCGCAGTTGAATGCGGATTACGTTGTTTTACATTGGTCGAGTGCATTGAGTTTGGTAGTATTGTTCCGGGGCCCCCTTGTTCTCCTACCCTGATCTCACTATCAAGCTTTACAGGCCGCGTGGCAGAGTGGAGGGCTAGCCCTTTTTCGACGATATGCTACTACGTAATATGGTCATTAGGGTTGCATATGCGACTTGATGCAACCCTAACAAGCGAAGTAAAGACCGGATCTAATAGTTGAGCGATTGGCATCTCATATGATGACAATAATATGGCTTTATTACCACTACCCCTCTGGAGTTGCCGCAAGTACTCATAGTTGGTTAAAGCCTAACCGCAAGAATAGATTCGCAGATTTGAAAGAATAAGAATAAACCGAATCATAATTCACTGGCTTAATTCGGGGAAGGTTTTTTTTTCCTTGCGTAAACGCTCTACCAGATGAATAGGGATAATGACAGAGCGGTAAGAGTTGGTTCCGAAATACAGATGCAGCAAGGATCGACAAGAAAGCCCAAAAGGAATGGAACTTTTTGTTACTTTGCAATCATACTGTAACTATATACGCGGCATGTGGTATTTCTTCAACGCAAACACCGTACTTCGATCACACCTAACACTTAAGGTAAATGTTCAATTCAATAGTTGACACTTGGACCGGATATTTAGTGCACGATGGAACAATTAGAAATTATTGATAAGCCAGGACTAATAGTAAACACGTCAACGACATTAGTATTTAAGGAGACCTTGAGCCGGTCCGTAACGCATCTCTTTCCTTCTCAGTATCCATCGATCCTTCAACAATATTCTGGTTCTTTCAAGACAAGTTTTTATTACGGGCAACATGGTTCCTTACCTGTCCATTTGGCTTCTGCTTTTTAGAGTCTCTCTTGTTGCCGCACATGAGTGGAATACGACATGTACAATACGAACGCAACGTCCTGCTTGGTGAGAACCTTCATTCCATCCCCTCTAGTGAAGCCTCCTTTCTAAAGATATAATAGGAACGCATTGACCGACCAGGAAAAGATAGCATACATTGAAGCCGAAAAATGCTTACAGGCAAGACCAGCACAGGCTGGCACGGAGGGTGCTGAAAATAGATGGGACGAACTTCACTGGTCCCACATCTCGCAGACCAGCTACATTCACGGTGTGGTACGTCCTGACTCTGTACTTTATTGCCAGTGAACATCTTGGATTCTTGAAAGCTAAGGTTAAACACATTTACGTAAAGGGTGGCTTTCTTCCCTGGCACAGATACTTCGTAAGAGTCCACGAATATCTTCTACAGTCAGAGTGTGGCTACGAGGGCGGGCAGCCCTACTGGAACGAAACAGCCGACGCCAGTGACCTGCTTTCCTCCGTCGTCCTTGATCCAGATACCGGCTTCGGAGGTGGCGGTAATTGCATTACTGATGGCCCGTTTGTGGACGTAAGGCTGCGCCTCAACGCCAACGGGGCAACTGACCCCTATTGTATCTATCGCTCGCTGAGTGCCCGCGACTTTTCATCTGCAGTCCAAGGGAATGTAGATGCATGCATGGAAACTACTTCATACGAAGATGCCCGTAATTGCTTTGAAGGTTCCCCTCATAACGCAGGTCATGGCGGGGTTGGTGGCTTGGTACGTCTTCATTTACGTACCCTTCTTCTAGTACCGGGAGAAAGACTAACATACCCTTCTTCAGATGGTCAACGTGGCATTGAGCCCAGGGGATCCTATTTTCTTCCTTCACCATGCATACATTGATAAGATCTGGTGGGAGTGGCAAGAATTAGACCTAGAAGCTCGGCTTACTGACATGAGCGGAACAAACCAGCCCAGAAGTGGTGGTGGCCCAGGAGGTGGCGGCCCCCCTGGTCTGAAACTCCGTGCAGAGACGTTTGATTATGGCGATCCAGGAAACGAAACCACTCTTAGTCACATATTGGGCATGGTTAATGTAGTTCCTGATGCGATTATTGCCGAGGTGATGGATCTCCGGGGAGACCTGATTTGCGCGGAATACTTGGATTAAGTCTTTTCAGCAGTCTTTCACAAATATCGCTCAAACCTACGTGCCGCTGTGAAAAGATGTAAATTTGCTTTTCTTTTGAATTTGGATTCTTAGTTGAGGGAAGCTAATAAAAATTCCAGAATTCAATTACTGTTTAGTTATTTGCTCTAAGTCCGCCGGTATCTATCATAGAGGTTAACTAATATGCAAGGACTACCTAATGTAACGCTGTGTTGGTCCTGTTATACCAGGATAATAAGGTGCCATTTCCCAGCTCGTTTTGGACCTATTTAGCAGGCGGTGAGGCTATTAATATCTCCTTGAAAAGATGATTGCCAACCATTTTTTCCAGCCTCCGTCTGCCCCTGCGCCCTCATCTACCCATTTGTTTTTCATTGACCTCTCCTTTCATTATTCTCTCCAAAGAGACACCCTCATATCGAGATACATAACACATGATGGCTATATCTCAACGCCTGTCTCCTGCTCATAGCAAAGGAGAGGGGCTCAATAAGCCCCTCGCTCAAGCGCAGCCTAAGACAAAACCCAATCTCTTGCGAGCAAGCGAAGTACCCTCATGGTACGCCACCAACGCCTTTCTCCGGACTGGCTACCGGCCTGTGAACGGATCTGTCAAGCTGTGTTTTGAAAGCTTGCGACATATTCATAACGAGACCGTCAATATTTACTCCCATTTAATACCGGCGGTCATCGCCATCGCCTGCAATTGCTTCCTCCACCTGTATTTCCACAGCCGCTTCCCAGATGCGCATCTAGCGGACAGACTAGCTGTACACATCTACTTAACTACCTCGATCTTTTGTTTCGGTGTCTCATCCATCTATCACACCGTAACCTGCCACTCAAAAGATTTCGCAGGTCTCTGGAACCGCTGGGATTATGCAGGCATCATTATTCAGACAACAGGCTCGTTCGTTTCGGGGGTCTACATGACATTCTACTGTGAGCCGGCCCTGAGAAAGCTGTATTGGACCATGGTAAGTTTTAATCCCCATCCGTTCTTCACAACAGCATAAAGGCATTTTTAAACTGATGCAGATTTGCATACTAGACTGGGGTGCTAGGCTTTTGCTCGACAACTATTGTTGTGAATCCCCGCTTTCAGGGCAATCGATGGAGACCACTCAGGATCGCGACATTTGTTGCCATGGGTCTCTCAGGCCTGTTGCCTGTCATCCACGCGACCTATATTTATCCGTTTTCTCAACTTAACCAACAAGCCGGGGTTGGTTATTATCTTGTCGAGGGCCTAACGCTTATTCTTGGCACAGTCTTCTACGCGGTAAGTGGAACGTGAAGGTGATGGAGTGGAAATTCATAGCAAACAACTTACCTTGGATCGAGCTAATCGTCATTTACGTAGACACACTTCCCCGAATCCTGGGTGCCTGAGAAGTTTGATATTTGGGGAGCCTCTCATCAGATCTTTCACCTGTTGGTTGTTCTTAGTGCTGTAATTCATACGTGGAGTCTTCTCAGTGTATATGGGTGGATTTATGAAAGTTCCCCTTGCCTAGGCTGAATCCCAGATGAGATATGACGGAGAATAACAAAATGCTCACTAAGAGTCAAACATACGTATTAAAAAAATTATAATAGGTCGAGTTAAAGGGGTAAATTAATTAGAACCTGGGATTTTAAAGATTCTATTACTAGTAGGTTTATAAGAAGAAGGGCTTATTCAGGGAAAATCAGTGCTAGTGAAAAAGGTTCGTCCTTTCAATGCTTATTCTAAGAGCTAATGTAGGTAATGAAGGCTGCAAAGAAATTCATTGCATCCCACGATTGAGATGTCACGTGGTGTTACTTGAAGGATTTCTGTCTTCTCTGCGCGATTATGGATGACGAAAGACTTGGCATTGTATTCCATCAATTTGAGCTCTATATCATTCTAGATGGTTCGAGTATAATCCCCAAAGGCATGAAGAACTACTTGAAATCATGACATTCATTTACCCAATAGTCCATTCCCCTCGCGGAATCCGCTTGTTAAAATATAAGAAGATCTCTGAAGACCGAAAAACGTTGGAGTTTTCACTGGAGACAAAACGCTGGGAGGTCCCTGAAATCAAGTTTGAACACAACCGTCCCGTACTATCCAAGAACAGCAATCGATTGGCATTCTACGCTTTGTCGTATGTATGGGGCACCTCGCCAGATAAGGAGGTCATCATATGCAACGGTGCGCCTGTAGAGATCACAAGAAACCTCTACGATGCTCTCTTCCAGCTCATTGTACACATGCCAGGTATTGAGTTGTGGACCGATAGCCTGTGCATCAATCAAAATGATGCCGTGGAGAAGCCAGCTCAGGTGGCCATGATGGGAGACCTGTACGCGTGTGCAACAGAGGTGGTCTGTTGGTTAGGCACAGCTACACTTTCAGATCCCCTCTGTGACTACCAAGCTGCCATTGATACCTTTCAAAAGATAAGGGCCAGGCATCCACCCGACGAGGAATATCCCAGCTGTGCTAGTTGCGCAGGGTCGGTATTTAGACTAGGACTCTGCAAGGATCGCACTCACCAAGAGATTGCAGATCAATGCGATGGGCTTCAGGAACTTATCTCAGCAATGGAGTCTAGTCGGTGGTTTGAAAGAGTATGGACTTTTCAAGAGTTCATCTTGGCTTCAAAAGTCACAGTTCATCTCGGCCCTTACGCCATGCCTTGGCGGTATTTTGCCCTGGCATCTTATGAAATGAATCGGAGTCACTACAAATTCAGTTCTTCTTTCGGCATGAGCATAGGGGTTTCCGAGATTCGTAAACTAAACGAGTTCCACAATAGGTTCTGGAACGGGAGGGGAATCTCACTGGCAGAGGCCATTGAACAGGTGCGAATCCGCAACACGACAGTACATCATGACAAGTTATATGCCGTCATGGGGTTATCTTCGAGAACTAGGTCATCTAGCATCAAAGTGGACTACTCCATTTCCCTCTCGCAGCTCTATGCCATGTTCACCCGTTTCTCAGTCCTGGAGGACGCCAATCCAGGTGTCCTGCTAAGCATCACGCCCGGCCGTGCAGGACAGCCACAGGATCCTGCATATCCAAAACTACCTAGGTGTCCTGACTTGCCTACTTGGGCTATCGATTGGTCAAGAGACCGGCTAGCGACGTCAAGCTACCATATCAACGTGGGAACTCTGCCTGACCTCGCGTCTATTGGGGGCTCTCTCGGTCTGTACTCTGTCGTCATCGGATATCTTCCTACAGATGATTACGATTTCCTCAAGAGAACAAACTGCATCGACTCGCCAAGCTTTAGACGACTTCCGGATTGTATCGATGGCCACAATGGACTTAAGGACAGCCTGACCGGACCCCAATTCAGGGTGAGCCAATGTCAGTGGGCGCCTCCGGGCTACTTAGTTGCTGATATCGAGCAGCCCGAAAAGTTACCACAAACGTATATGGAGCCCGCCAGTCTATTGGGACGATTTGATTCCCACCAGCTAGGTGAGTGTTCCTGTCTTGGTGTGAACACACTGGCTGGCGACGCAATGCAGTGGGTGTGTCTCCTTGCAAATCCCCAAGGATGGATGGCTGCCTCTGTCTTTGTGGTAGAGTTGCATTGCAGGAAGTCGAGTCTCCTCGGAGAGTACAAATGGAATGTGTCTTGGAGAGACGGTTATCGGCCTACGGGGGAAGATGTCGAGGGTTATGTTTTGTATGAATACCCGTGCATCCTCTCACCCATAGCCTTCTGAATGGTCTGGAAAATCACAACTTGTCTGGTCCGTGGAAGAAAGTGGCAGATTACAGCATCAATCCCGGTCGTATCGCCTGGTGCCGTTTGCTTTCAAGTCAGCTAAATTGCCTTCTTTCATCTAGGGGCATGGGCCCGTAAAAGCCCTCATCACTTGGGCAGCCACTGAAATCGATACCAGATGCTTGAGTTATATCCCTTGTACTGTGGGTGCAGAAGATCTGAAGATGTCTTCAAGACAAGAACAAAGGTCTATCCACCTCGAACGGCTCGGCCACGGATGTCCTATTCGAGTTTCTATATGTATCTTCTCATTTTGTGTTCATTTTTTCTAGACATCTTGAAGCGTATCTCTTTCCACAGAATAAAGCGTAATTCGTCATGACCGTCCCAGATTCCCTTGCTCCGCCCTAATCCTGCACCGGGTCATCAGACGTCTATTCTAAAATAGCACGGAGTGCCTCGATCTGACCCAGCACGGCTGAACGACTGGTACCGCCTGGAGCCGATTTCGCCTCGACACTCGACTCATATTTGAATGCGTCCGCAATGTCTGCTGTGAACCGAGAGTCAATTTCTTGAAGCTGCTCCAGGGTCAGCTGGTCCATCGAGACCTCTGTGTTCTCAGATAGGGCAACGATGCGTCCGGAGATATGGTGAGCCTCCCTGAATGGAACACCCTTCTTCACCAGCCACTCTGCGACGTCGGTGGCCAACATCGTCATATCTAGAGCAGCCCTCATCCGCTCTGGCCGAACTGTCAAGGTAGCAACAACTCCATTAGCAATGCCCAGACTATCCATCACGAATTCAACAGAATCCAGCATGGGTTCCCAGCTCTCCTGAGAATCCTTGGCATAACAGTATGGCAGGCCTTTCATAGTCTTTGAAGTCAAGAGTTAGTAGCAATTCTCAATATTTTCTTAAGCACCCTCAAAACCAAGCAACTAGCTGAGATATCAATATGAAAACGTACCATCATTAAGCCAGCCATTTGACCGAAAGCACGACCTGACTTGCCGCGCAAAAGTTCAAGTGAATCGCTGTTTTTCTTCTGCAAATTGAAAGTCTTGTTAGTACCGTTGACACTTCACCAATGCCAGTAGGTTACGTGAGGCCAAGGAGACTTACGTTGGGCATCAATGAAGAGCCTGTCGAATATGCATCCGCCAACCGCACAAACCCAAATTCGCTGGTTCCATAAACGATGAGGTCCTCAGCCCACCTGCTGATGTGATTGGTGAAGATTGAATTCCAAGTAAGGAACTCAATGATGAAATCGCGGTCAGCCGAAGTATTCATCGAGTTCAAAGTTATCCCGCTGAAGCCAAGCTCCTTGGCGATGGCGTGTCGATCGATTTGGAATACGTTGCCAGCTAAAGCGCCACAACCAAGTGGGCTGAGATTAACCCTTTCGAAGACCTGTCGCAGCCGCTCGAGATCCTGCTTGAACGCAGCTGCGTGTGCCATTAGCCAATGTGCCCACCTAACTGGCTGGGCGCGCTGGCTGTGAGTGTATCCAGGCATGAGGTAGTCACTGAGGTTATCAGTCAGGAGGGAGCTACTTATGGCTAGAGAGACAAGGCTTAACTTACATCTCGGACTCAGCACGTGCGATAACGACCTTGAGAAATGCCACAAGTTGGGAGTCTATCTCCTTGATCCGATCGCGCAGCCACATGCGCATATCACAGACGACTTGCTCGTTGCGACTGCGACCTGTGTGGAGCTTGCCCGCCGTATCCTTTCCAATGACCTCTCCTAAGCGACGTTCATTTGCTGTGTGAATCTGACCGATTCTGTTAGCCGCAGTAAGTAAGTTAAGTTACAGAGAGGGGTCTTACGTCTTCATCATTCGGCATGATAGCGAAGGTTCCCTGCTTCCATTCTTCCATCACTTGGAGTAAACCACGCTCGATCGTCTGAAATTCGTCTTCCGTGATGATTCCGGTCTTTGAGTTGGCCCTGGCAAACGCAATTGATCCAAGGATATCCTCTTTGTAAAGAGCCTTATCGTAGCCGATAGAGGCATTGTACTTATGCATGAGGGGATCAATCCCACCTGTGAACCTGCCCCCCCAGAGCATGCCAGCTGCAGGAGCGTCCGCCTTTCCTTCGGCCATGTTGAAACTTTGTGAGTGGCTTTCGTTGCGTTCGTTATCACGTTATCAAGGGCGTCACTCGTGAGTAATCAAGGTCGCAACAACTGTTGAGGGATGAAAACTTCGTCATTGGAAAAGTTTGTGGGGGTGCCCCTTGTCACGTGAGGACCCCGCCCACTACCCTATAGTCTATCATCATCAGAGATCTTACTGCAAATGAGTACGATTTCCTGAAGAAGATAAACAAGATTAACTCACCAAACCCTCGGCGACTTCTTTCCGGATTGAATAGGTTGCCACATTATTATTTGAACTGCCTGTCCCTTGTCAGCGCGATCGCCTCTCAATTGGAGGTGACTCAATTGAGCAACCTGTCTTCTGTTGAAGCGTCGATCACCATGCACCGACAAGCTGTCCCTCGCAAAAAGTGTCGTTTCTGCGGATCCCATTGGCACAATTGCGCTTAGTCATTACTCGTATCCACTTAGCCTTAAGCAATGTGTTTATTAGACCTAATTCAGACTAGACAAGTGCCCCACACGGGAGATCGGCATTCACGACTTTGAGATACTGGCAGTTGAGAGGTCCGAATTCATTGTGAGTTGCCTCCCACCAAGTCAACTCAACCATACACCCGTTGCATCCAAGAGCAGTATCAAAGCTCCAGTTTAGGATGTGGGTGCTTTTAGCCCCGTCACAGTAGGCTGCGCTTTTACCAGCGAAGCTTGCAACTCTCTCCAGATTAGCCCACAGGCCGCCACAATGACCGGCGATGTCAAAAAAATTCTCTGGCCAGCCGTCAAAGTGAATAAGACCGTTATCTGGGGATGCAACCCTGGCATGGTTGAATCGGCTTGGTGGGGGGCTACCCGCAACGAGTTTGGTTCTATCAGCTGTCAGTTTAAATAGGTGTTGAAGTTGGACCAGTGAGGGGTTTCGCTGATGATGAGGCAAGCGGATGAGAACTAGACTTTGGTCTGTATATGAAGTGAGCCAGGGGATTTTGAAACCAAGAAATGAGAAAGGTATCTAGCTGTTGCGTTAGGCTAGGTAACTACAGAGATGGGAACTCAGTGCTAATCATGAACAGCCTGAGTTAAGTCAATCAAAAAAATCTCTCATGAAAACGTTTTACTTATGTTACCCTCTGGATTTTAAGTAGTAGATATATGCTTCACCACCTATTGTATCACCACCATATTTAAGCCTGAAATTTCAAAGTAAGGAATACAAGTTCATTACACAATACATGGGCCTTGACTCCTGCTGCCCACATCATTGGCTAACTAAATCCTTATATTTCCCTAAGCCAGCATCAGGCTGCTGGGAGCGAGATCTCCAATGGAGTCATCAGACCTGCTGGAACTTTGCCGCAAATTTCTTTTCCAGCTCCTCGTCCGTCAGCAGAGGGAGGCCAACGAGCTCGTTGTCAACCTGAGGATAGGCCGCGCGAAATTGACCACCCAATAGCGAGGCCTTAAGCAACGGGAAGATCAGGTTGAAGTCGGTTGGGTCCTTCTCCAAGTTCTTAAGAGCCTGCTCAAACTCTTGCTTCGCATCAAGCCGAGTCTCCGTCCACTGAACTCCAGGTGGGCTATACTTCTTTGCGAGAGCGAAAACCTTGGCTTGGGTCAAGACAACATCGTGAATGAATAAGTTTCGGTTCTTGGTTTTATCTGAAGCCTTTAGGGCTCCGGCAATCGCCTGTCCAATGCTGTGAACGCTGGTCGAACTAAAAGGATGCTCGCCATTGTCATAAACCTGAATCGAAGAGGTTTTTAAATCAAGGATGAAGGGGAAATCCAGCACATAATCGAGGAAGGCCCCCACAGAAAATATCGTGTATTCAAGCGTACCCGCATCAGCCTTCTCTTTCAAGAGCGTTTGGACTTGGATCAATGGGTAATTGATGGGTAGGGATCGTGCTTTAGGATCAGTCGTCAAGGAACCCCAGTCAGCCGGGATATAGCGCTTTACCCCCGCCTTAATACTGGCTTCAATGATTCCTTGCTGTTGAACGATAGCAGCAGATCCAAAGGTGGCGACTGCGACATCTTGACCTCGCAGTGCCTCAACAAGACTGTCTTGGGAGGAATAATCCACCTGGATAATCTTAGTACCCGAGGGGAGATCTTTAACAGCAGAGGCGTTCCGGCTCAGGACAGTAACGTCGAACCCGGCGTTGACTAGCTCCTCAAGGACGGCAGTTCCCAGGAGACCTTTCTATAAAACACGACTTAATAACAGCCACTGTTAGAGCTTCTAGAGGGGACTTACACCGAGAAGAGCCACCCTTTTAAAAGAAGCCATTGTGCTGCAAATGTCTGTATGTGTTGTGTATAAGTTGTAGATATGAAGAATGATATCGTGTGATTGGGAATGTAGAGATGGAGTCTCCTGCGCTAACAAAGAGACCACTCATTTGTATCGGGTGGCCAGCACGTTTATATACCTGTTATACATGTGCCACCTTCTATTCCGTTACAAGGAATAACACCTTCCTGTGTAGTCACGCAATTCAGCGGAGTTTTCAAAAGTGAATGAGGTGATCACAAACTCCGCCAACAGCCTGAAGACCGTGGAGGAGCTCCAATGACATGCTAATAACACCATTTCGCTCATACATATTCCATTTTGTGCAGCAACTTGGTTGGTTCTGGAAGGACCCGCACTTAAGTAGTAATTACCTAATAACAAGGTTAACTCGGCACATTCTTTGGATGTCATTGCGGACTTGCTGATAAAGCGAGCACAGGCTAAGCCCCAGCCGCAAACGGGTGAAAACTGTTTCCGTTAGAATTTTAGCTAGACTAGGTACGGGAAGGCAGAAACGGTAGGCAATTCTGCTTAGAATAATAACTGCTCCTATACCTGCCTTGAACCCCCGAAATGTGCAGCCTGCACCTTTTGTTCGAACCCATATCACTTTTCTGCAACTTCAACTCAAAGAAATCATAATCATCATGGCCGGAGATAGTATCCTGGTTTTTGGGGCTACTGGCCCTGCGGGCATCTCCCTTCTGCGCGAATTGCTGTATCGCAAACTTCCAGCTCTGGCTTATTGTCGAAATCCTTCCAAGATTCCCGAGGACCTGACCTCTAATTCACTACTTGAGGTATGCCCACAGAATGAGACCGGATGCCTTACTCCAACTGCTCACTAGTTCTTTGTAGGTCGTCAAAGGAGACATGTCTGATCGCAAAGCCATCTCTGGAGCTATCGCCAAGTCACGGGCGATTATCTCACTCCTTGGGCCAAGCAGTCCCCGGCAACCCAAGAACACCGAGTTTGCCGACTACTACCGAACCATCGTGCCACTGATGAAAGAACATCGAGTTGGGCGAATATTAGCCCTCGGCACCACAGCCATGTATCGGCCGGATGACCAGAGCTCTGTTTCGCGTGCTGTTATGAGTACGCTGATCAAGGTTGTGGCGAGCGGCGCCTACCATAATATTCTGGCTATTCAGGATTATTTTGAGCATCTCGATGAAAGTTCTATCGAGTGGACAGTCTTTCGAGTGGGCAATCTATTAAGTCGGGGCCTACTTATTAATTCAGCCAGGTTAGATAAATTAGCTATTTTTCTATATCTATAGAAAAAGATATACTTTTTACCCCTTCTTATTTTTACTTTTAAAAATCCCTTCTTATAAAAGATATATCTTTTATAATTTTATAATAGCTATAATTAGTTAATTAACTAGCTATAAATATAATCTATTTAATTAAATAAGAATATATATAAAACTTAAAATCTTTTTTTTATAGTTATTATAGAAAGTTATTAGATTTTAATATAGTTAATAGTTTATATTTTAAGCTTACTAATAGTTATAATATTATTTATTTTTCTTCTAATATAAATAGAGATCTTAGTAGGAAGATATATAATTAAACTCTAAGTAATCTAAATACTCCTTAACCTATAGATTAAAGTAATTAGATAAAAAGAGAATAGATATAATACTTTTTAATTATTATAAGAACTTTCTTCTAGTAGGGGATTTATATATAAAAGTCTTATAAGTAAGAACTATAGAATAGGAAGAATATAATAACTATAAGTATATATTTAATTCTAATTATTAATTAATATATTAATTAAAAATCTTAGTTAAAACTTAGATTTCTTTTTAGTTTTAAAAAACTATTAAGAAGTTTAATATTAATAAAAACTAATTATTTTTAAACTAGTTTAATTCTAAAGAACTAAAGGATTTATTATATAAGTTATTTATTTAAAAGGAAATTAGATAAAAAGAGTAAAATTATTACTATTTTATTTCTTCTATTAGCTTAGTTAAGAAATAAGAAAGAAAGGGAAATTAGATTAAGATTTCTAGAAAAGAGATTAATATAGATAAATATAGTATTATTCTTTAGATATAAATAATCTCTTTTTTTACTATTTATCTTATAATTATCCTAGTTTCTATAATAGAATTATTATAAAAATTAGTTTAACTATTTAATTAGATACTTTTAATAATATCTAAAAAACCTTAAAATAATCTAGCTAGTAGTAGCTATTAAGATAAATTACCCTGGAATAATCTTATATTAGTATTAATATATATTATTAAGAAAATTAACTTCTTTATTTATATATTTATAATAAACTAATAGTTTAATAGATATAATATTATCTTATTCCTTAAGTAATATAATAATATAATAGAAGTAAAAGATTTATTAAGGAAATATTATTTTAATTAGTTAGAGTTTAATATCTCTAAAAATAAATAATTAAGAGTTAAGTATTATATTAAGAACCTAGATTATTAGAATAAAATTAAAACTTAATTTAAAAAAGAATATTAATATCTTAATTAAGATTAGAAT